ACCCACTTTCATCAATCTCCCATCCCCCATCATCACTGTTGCTCTGGCTGTCATTATTGCTACTATTACCTCCATAACTACTGTACATTTCTGGTTTCTGAATATTTCCTTTCTTTTCTTACTGAGACAAGTTCTTATTTTTTAGGATAGGTTTTGTGTTCTGCCTTTCAGTGGTCATTGATGTTTTTAAAGTCAGATACAGTATATTAAGTTGAAACTTTTTCTGTGAAGGAGGGAGGTATTGTTAATATCTTAATTATATTGTATACTGCACTGTACTTATTATACTTTGATGACCTCTTACAACTCATAAAGGGTTGTTCAGTAGAAATGGAGACAAGCACAGTTGACATTGTAAGTTTGCTCTAGAATTTAATGAGGAATCACACTGTTGGATAGGGAAAATGGCTCATTAGATACACATGACGAGGATAGAACTTAGGTACCGGTAAGCCAGGTGGTGGTATGGTGATAGTAGTTGCAGAGAATGGAAAGTGAAGGGTTTGTCATTGGGGAGAGATTGAGTACAGTACATGTGATCTGTGGCAGAAGCGAGGTCGAAAAAACCACACACAGGAGGCTGATTGCTTACTGAACTAATTCTATAGATTATGTAAGCTAACATTTTGAATTGTGGGAAAGGTGCATCAGATAATCTGTAGATAGAAGTATATGCTCATCAGTGTAACATTACTTTTATGTTGTTTTCAGAATGTGACCTGAACTAGCAATTAACTTTAGGTCATTATTGACATGTTGATTTTTCTTAAAGTTGGTTGAGGCTAACAACTCGGGGGGGTGAGGGGTGCACGCGTGTGTGTCTCTCAAGAGAGGTGGGGAAGGTTTGGGATGGTTGTTGGTAAGTGGTGTGTGTGTACATCCATAGAGGGTTGGGAGAGGTGGGATGGTTGGTGGGAGAGAAAGCAGTGAAAGTGGAGTGGAATGCTAGGGACTGGCAACAAGAAATGAGTTTCTAACATGGCAACAAATCCCCCTTGGGATGTTGCATCATGAGAAAACAGTACTGTAATGACATATTTATTCATGGATTTATGAAGTAGCCATGTACTTGATTTTAAAGAAAAATTAATATAATTAGATGAACTTAATGATTTATGCCAATAAGACATCAGTAGGCAAGATGCAAGTTCTCTTGTGATACAGTACAGGTACTGTATCTGCATATTGCAATAATGAATAGAACAGAATACCTTTTTTAATATGCAAAGGATCTGTTTTGGGTGGGTTTTATGAACAATTACATATCATAGCAGAACATTACTATTGTAGAAGTAAAGAATGAATAAACTGAAACTAATGAAGGGAGTGGTTGCATTTGCTCTTCATTGTGGTTACCCTGCTTTATAGTGAGAACAAGTTTACACTACACTGGAAAGGTATATTTTAAGCTGTTGTGTGGGAATTCTAATACTGTTGACAGATGTGGTACAGTAATATAGTACACCTGTGTACAGTATTTAGGTCATGGGATGAGGTATCTCTAACATCTGCTTCTACTTCTCACACAGGTGGGGCTGTAAATACACACACACACACACACACACACACATTGAGTTAATAAATGAATAAAGAAAAAATGAGTGAATAACAAAATTATAAAAACCACAGTAGACAGTAGGCTGTGCAGATTATGTGGAATATTTACTTGTCCCGTACAAATGACTTTTGAAATTTACTTGCCCTGACAAATTTATTGAGGGAATTTGCTTGCCAAGATATTTTCTGGGAAAATTTAATTAAAGATCTTAAAACTTTCAAATGTATTGTGTGTATGAACTCTCAGACATATTGTAACCATCTGAATGGTGTCAATGATGGTAACTTGTCACGTGATGTCATAACTCCTGTCACCTCATGTCTACATCTTCTCAGCTTGGCTTTTCCTTTGAAATGTTGACAACTTAACTCTGATCGACTAGAGGCGGGTTGGCAGCTTAATGTAGAGATAAATTACCTGCACCTGACGTAGATCACTAATCCTGGTACACTGATGACAAGTGGCCCGTTAATGGATCTCCCAGGTTAAATGTGTATGGGGAGGTGGGGGTTACACAGCACTTGACAAATTCCCATTTAGGTACTGTATTTACCTGTCAAAATATTAGCTTGTCTGTCAGGCAAGTGCCAGGCACCCTGAAATGAAAAATCAATTGCCCGACCCCAAGTCCAGGCTGCCGGGCACTGCCAACAGCTTTCCTTATATGAATCATTGGCATCATAGAGACAGTGTAGAAATATTTAAGAATTGGAAAGTTGAAATGGAGTCAAAGGGTATGAGAGAGAATGTGGTGGCATGGATGAAGGACCTATGATGGAAAGTGAAAAATGGCCGTGTACTGTCTGTAAAAAAATGTTGGAAGTAATTAAAAAATGTCGGTGAGTGTGCAAGGTGAATATACACACAATGCAGTGGCATAAATGGCAGACTGTAGGCCTTCACAAGGCTGAAAAAGCTCAACATTGGGGATATAGCCCTGGATTGTGTCAGTGAGTTCTATTATTTGGGTGACATGACCAGTTGCTTGAAATAAACATGGCTGCAAGAACCAGAAGTGGCTGGAAAATTTTTTGGGCATTGTAGCTTTTATTGATATCAAGAGTTCTTCTTTCTGTTTGGAAGGAAAGATGTACAGTATGTAGCTGGTGTGAGAGGTGTGATGTACAACATTGAAACACGAGCGGTTAAAGAGGATGACATAGTTAGGCTTGAGTGAGTTGAAATGATAATGGGGAGATAGATAAGTAATGTGACATTGAGAGATAAGAAACTGTTCAGAGCAATAAGTGTGGCTAAGTACAGTACAGTATTGAAAGTAATGGCAAGGTTTTGTATAGAGGTAAGCTGAGATGATCCAGGCATGTGGAGAGAATGAAGGGGACCAGTTGGGTCAATAGGTACACAAGTAAGAATGTGGAGGGGAGGAGAGCTAGGGGTAGGCCAAGAATGACGTGGAGAGAGAGGCTATAAGAAATTTCCTCATAGATAAGCACCTGACAAGAGAGGCTGTGAGAGACTGTACAGCTTGGAGTGCTGCCATCAGGTAATCACGACTAACCCATGGAAAATGGTCATAAAATGGTGGTGGTGGTGGTGATGATGGAGTCATTTCATCAGTAGTACAGTATAGCAAACTCATGAGTGAATTAAAGGGTGTGCATCACTTGATGCATGTTCATCAGTTGAAAATCTGTATCATTCATGAATGTGCAGCAGTTAAGGATATCAGGTATGCATCTGTTAAGAATTTGGAACTTATCAGAATGTACCGGGTAGATTAGTTTATGATATCAGTTAAGAAAAAGTTATCTCAAGGAGAAAGAGTGTGGTCCAGATTACTAGCCTGACCCACGTGTTTCCCTGACCTATATATGTATAATATACTGGACAGGTACCCCCTTGTTTAATGATGGGATTGCATTCCTGAAACCCTAATGTTAAGTGAAATTATCACTGAATGAAGCATAACAGCAGGTATAAGCAGCACTGGAGTAAACAAAGATAGGTTTCTGTAGTGAAAGAGGAGTTATATTTCGAGTCATAGCTTTTGATGATGATTTTTTACTGTGTTAAGTTCTCATGCTTAGGCCAATATAAATTTAGTAACGAAGAACATTACTCAAAATTTTATTGAATGGCATAAACATTTTATATGAGTACTGTAGACTCCACTCACCAATATGTTCTGTTGTTTACTGCATGAGGAGAGATTGAACCCTTATTTATGCCAGGACAATGTACTACTGTACTCATACATGTATGACAATTATAACAGGACAACATTCATGTGTTATAAGCTATAATTTGACAACTTTTAAGTGTTATAGTTGTAAGGGGACATCATACATGCATTACAGCATAGTTCTAACAACATTATTCGTGTATTCATTTACGTACAGTATTTCAGTGTATTGTATCATGCAGTTATTTTGATGCAATCAGAATTTGAATTGAACATTTATTTTTAAGAAAAGGATTTTGTCTATATTTTCTAGTTTGACTTTACTCGTATTGTTATTACAGTATTTTAATTTATAAATACAGTATCATTGATTCTGGTTACCTCTTAGTATTCAGGAAAATGGTTACAGTGACTAATAGTACTGTATAGTAATTTGTTATTACTGTACTGTATTGTGATCATTATTATTCATATTATTTGTTTAAGGAGGAGGGGTTGAAAGAGTGGACAAAAAGAGTATTGTTATTTTTATAACCTAGTACCTCACCGAGAGAGTGATTGTCTTGCAAGCAAATGGACCCGAGTTCAGTTTCCAGCTGGAGTAGAGCACTTCGTTCCCTTCTTGTACACTAGCCCTCATATAATGAGCAATAAAAGGAGTACAATATTGGGTGCATATGTCAGTGTTTGTGGGTGTTGTATCATCAGCTGCAAGGCCAAGTTTACTGTCCTTTATTTACCCCACCTGGAAGGATGGATTTCATGATACTGTACTGTAATTGTATTATACTGTACTGTATGTAGATCATTAGGTTTCACTCGAAATACTGAATATATCACCAAGACATTCCTCAAAATGGAAAGAAGACTAAGAGTTCTGTAATGTACTTGCTATATAACCTACAGATAAATATTTTTTCATTATGAAAAGTAACTAGCTACTGTGTTTCATTCTAACATTCAGCACTATATTGTATTGAGTTATAATTAAATAGCCCAATTTGGGAAAAAATGTCCCCCCCCCCTCACTCAAATCTCCAACTTAAGCAATTGTCGGTTTGAGGAAAAATGGCTCTGGAACATGAGTCTTCATTTCACGTCATGAGTACAGTATAATGTTAACACAGATTAATTTTCTCTTTTCATCACTTTAAGTTGTAAGGGTCCAGAAACTGATACAGTACATGATAACTACACTTAGTCATCATTACAGGATTTATTTTTATATTAAAACTTTTATGATTAAATGAATGGCATGATGTGGACACTGTAACCACAGAGGAATTTTTACATTCACAGATGGTTTGGTCAAGAGCAGCAATACAACATTTTGGTGATGGATCTACTCGGGCCATCCTTAGAAGACCTTTTCAATTTCTGCAGTCGTCGCTTCACCATGAAGACAGTCCTCATGTTAGCAGACCAGATGATCGGACGTATAGAATTCATACACAACAAGAATTTCATTCACAGAGATATTAAGCCAGGTATGAGGCTGAAATTGGCCATTGTGTCATTATAGAGTTGTAGTGGATGGTTAAGTGTATCTGTAATTTATAACTAGTGATGCGGAAAACTTATGTGTTCAATGTAACTAAATGCATAACTAGAATACTCAGTTGTATACTGTAATTGAAGTTCTATGGTAGTAATTGGTAAATTGATAAACCTGTTTGGAGGAGTGCATTTATTGGAATAGAGCTTCAGGTTTTTAAGCAGTTGTTCTTGGCAACTCAATATACTATAATAGTAATGAGTGTGATTTTGTTGCTATAATGGTTGAATAAATACATAACAGGAACCTGAAATGATTTAAGTGGAGTTTCAAGTAATTTGGGAGTGATAATGGTTATGTTGTGTCAAAAGTGTGTTGAGTAAGTCAGAACAAGGCACAGAACTGTCATAGGAAACAGTATATTTAAGTAATATATGAGTTGTGTTGTGGTGAGAAACTCTGGTTTGAATTTAAAGAGCTAATGAGGGAGATAATTTTTGGGAGTTTATATCAGGGCACAGAAAATTTTAACTTTTATGTAAAGGAGCTGATAAGTGATAAAAGACAGGATTTTGAAGTGTTTTGCAATGTGTATATCAACAGGATATGCAAATTGTATCTAATTATGCCTGACATCAATCTACATTTTGTTTTATTATTTTTATTGACTTTGACACCACAACTAGATACAAGGCACTATTTATTTCAAACATTTTATCAATACTCTACTGTGTTACATTTTGACAATCTCGGTAGCCCAACTTCAGGATACTGTGCTGTATTCTACCCAGAGGCTAAAGTTGTGAAGGAGTAGTAGAGGGAAGCAGTTTTTATGAATGGGTCGTGTCCTTTTATCTGGTTAATGACTGCAGGCCATTTTTAAGGAGCTGTGTTGTGATGGTGCAGTTTATTGTTTGTTGACAAGTTTATCTATGTGTCTCTATTAAAATCTAGTTTACCCATGTCTCTATATCAACATTTAGTTTACCCATGTCTCCATATAACCATCTGGTTCACACGTCTCTCTCCATATTACCATCTGGTTTACATGTCTCAATATTATGGAAAGTTCCGGGACCAAAGGTTACGGCTAACGGGGAGATAACAGTGTACAGTAAAAGATATTGGTGATTGCTCTTTTCAAAGTCTATTTCATGATTGGGTATTTACCTACACCTTAAATGATAGATTTAATAGATGTTATTAACCTGTAGCATCATACAGTTTGCAACTTTTGAGTTACTATAGTTACTATAACTACTGAAAATGCCTCCTGTTCTTGCTTTACAGTTAGTTATGAATAAAAGACAGACACAAATTTCTCAACTGTCACTTAATATGGAAGCTATGATTCATTTTACCGCATTGAATATAGACAGAGAAGGAAATGTGTATTTTATGAAACAGTTTACTATTGAATTATTTTGGGTGAAAACATTACTAAGTTGGGTTACAAAAGGAATTTTAAGAGATAAGACAGTAGAATTGTTTTTAGCAACCGTTTATTGATGTAAACAAATCACTCGGTACAATTCATATTTTTACTTTTACAGACAACTTCCTCATGGGCATTGGTCGTCACTGCAACAAATTGTTCCTGATTGACTTTGGACTGGCCAAGAAATACCGAGACAATCGTTCCCGTGCTCACATACCTTACCGGGAGGACAAGAACCTTACAGGCACTGCTCGATACGCTTCTATCAATGCTCACTTGGGTATTGAGCAGAGGTAAGTAAAGAAGATGGTATTGTAAGATGTAATTGACACTTTAGAAGCTCTTCTTAAAAGCTTTGCCTTCATTCATGCTGATTATTTTAGAGCTAAGGCTACATACAGGTTTAGGCTTCATAAAGTCAGTCTTTAAGATGTGAGGCTTCATGCAGGCTTTATTCAAGCTGTTTATTAGATTGTAGGCTTTATACATTTTGTTCTTAGCAACACAGACTTCATTCAGGCTCTGTTTAGATGCCTTTCTAAGAGCTCAGACTCTAAACAGCCCTTCTCCAAGTTGTTGAAAGTCTCTTCCTGCTGTTTGACAGGAGATAGAAATACTATAAATAACAATTTCAGCTCAAGTTATGCTCTTATTCTCCTTAATAAACAGATTACCCTCCCCTTCTCCCTGTGCTGTCGGCATCATAGAAGGGGACATGACATGGTCTGCCCAGGTTGTCATTTTTTCAAGTTACATAGCTGTATAGATTTTCTAGGTACTCTTTTACTACCTAGCTCAGAGGGGAGGAGTAGCTAGGTTTGGTGTCAGGGTTTAGTGTGGACCTCCCTAGTTTTCATATTGAGATGGTTCTTGTTAACTGGCACTTTGACTTTCTAGGGCTTAACTCCTCAAGGCTAGTGATCTTCTTGTTGCATACCTGCCTCAATAGTGAAGCATCTTCCACATTTTGGAGTTGGGTTCCAAAACTCAGGAAAAGACTAAAACTCTGCAAAAGCAATGACTAGGTGTTTTGCCTTTTTCAGAATCTTTTAATTATGTCAACTTTCACTTCCATTGTAATTGTTTTCTTTTTCTTGGATGCACTACTATCACTTGCATCAGGTTTGAGTTTTGGGATCCATGATGAGGGCAAAAAAAGTAAAAAGTAATAAGTACTGTAATAAGTAAAAAAACAATAGTTTGCACTTGTTCACACACGTTACTAAGATGAGGGTAAGGTGTACTGATGCTCCCTCAAGGCACGTGGCTGGGTTATGTATTACTCCACACAAACTAGTACTCATACGTTAATACTATGAAACAGTTTTACTTTTGTTGAATTCTTAAAATAATTGACTTTATTGGACCTCGTTCGTATCGGTGGGTGTTCATAAGTCAGACATTTGTAACATGGGGATCCCCTGTATATATAAAAAGGTAAATGAAATATTTCATGTACATATTCTTTGAAAATTATTGTTGCATTATGTTTTTGTGAAATTCATAGGTTTAATGCACTGTATTGTCCCACAGCCGAAGAGATGACATGGAAAGCTTGGGGTATGTGCTGATGTATTTCAACCGTGGATCCCTGCCTTGGCAAGGTCTTAAAGCTGCCACCAAGAAGCAGAAATATGAAAAAATCAGTGAGAAGAAAATGTCTACCCCAGTTGAATCTCTCTGCAAGGTGAAAATTTTTTAATTCTTTTGTTAAATAATTGCAATATCACCACCAGCATGTATATTATTATTATTATGTATCTTATTATTGTGAATGATGTGACCAGTATGGTATACTACGTATTAGGTAAGTTAAAGCTTGAATAACTTTTTCCCGTATTTGGTCTTTGTAATTTAGTCTTTTTCTTGTGAATCACAATCATGTACAGTATTCAATTGCAAACCCAGGGAGATGGGATCCATTTGGGCATATGGTTCCCTCTAATGACCCAATGGCATTGGCAATTTTTTAAATACTGTAGTATTTATTTTGTAACTTAGCCTGTTTTAGCAAACTGCCAAGTTAGGGTAAGAGAAGCAATTGATGCATCTCTTACTGTTGCCAATAAGATCTCAAATACTGTATTAAGTAATGTAGCTATTGTGTAGTTTATAGACTTCATAGTACACAGGTGAGTATAGTTCCTACGTCACGAGTTACCGTAGGTGACCATTTGGGCCAGTCCAAGAGAGAGGGGGTTTAGTGACCTTGATCGTTCATTGCAAGACAGATCACTTGTGTGAGAAATCATCTTATGGGCTGTCATAATTTCATAACACATAAGATTTTGGAATTTCCCCAAATTCTAGGCATTTGTTGGATAGCTGCAGTGTCTGAAATAAACTGTTGTGGTATGCAGAAGTTCAAAAGTGTTCGAATTTATTTGGCTGGGTTTGCCCAGGTTCTCGATTACCCCCTCATCTGTGTATGAAATTTAATGGAGGTACTGCAGATGATATCTTAGTAAATCTTGATAAAATGCTTGAATTATCAAATGAAATTTTCAATTTAATAAGTATTGTACATTTTAACAGGGTTTCCCAGCGGAGTTTGCAATGTACCTCAACTACTGCCGAGGTTTGCGGTTTGATGAAGCGCCAGATTATATGTACTTGCGTCAACTCTTCCGCATCCTGTTCCGCACACTCCATCACCAATATGACTACACTTTTGACTGGACCATGCTTAAGCAGAAGGCTGCATCCACTGCAGCAGCAGTTTCTGGAACCACTCCCCAACCTGCAGCGACCCAAGGTACACAGAAACAACTCTGAGGTCTTGGATGAAGGTGATGGAAGAAGGTTTGTGATGTTTTCTTTTAAGTATTGTAGTTATAGTTATATTTTTTATATGTTGAATATATGTGAAATGGAACTGGAAAATATAATTCTTTTGAGATTATTCTTGATATTTGTCATGATTGCAAATTGCATTGAAATTTTCGTTAATAGTTGTATATTCTTCATTGTGATATAAAGTATCCTGCCCATACTGCTGTTTCATTAGAAGGTGAACAGTGCACTTCATTGGTCTTCTTGTGTCATTTTTAATGTATCGTCAATAAACTCTTTTATATAGAATTATACAGTACTAAATTCTCATGGAAAAATAGCACATCTTAAGCATATATATACTATTTGTCTTTCTAGGAGGCCACTAGAAGTATGATAATAAAGCTACTGGATAAATTTGTTGGTAGAAAGAAGCCCAAGGTGATCCCCTTTCTTTACGTTGCAAGAGAACAAAGAAATGGAGGACGTTCGCTTTATTCAATGGCCCAAAGCAGTGATGGTGTGACGAGTGTGTTAAGTTGGTGAGCAGCAAGTTAATGCCATCTCATCTCTGTTGCCCTGATCATCGCTGCTGATGTCGCTTATTGGCCACAAATGCTGCTCATGATGGCCTTAGCTATGGGCATCATAATTTTCCTCTGACCTGTTTGAGAATGATTTATTTGATGAATTTATGTAATTCTATATGATGTCCGATGAATGTAGTAGAATGAATCCTCATAGGTGAAGGGAAGATATGCTTTTATAATCTTCCTTGTGCTAATCTTGCAGGCTATGGAAAAGCCTGTGGATGTATTGGTTGTTTCAGATTTTTATTAAAATAAAGGCATAGGAAGCAAGCTGAAAAATAAACTTTGAACTTGAAAGGGTCTACCTAGCTCCGTAGTTTTTCTCCACACGACCAGAAGTTCATGTCGAATTCATTTCATTTACATTTAGCCATATCATACCCATAACTAAGAAATAAATTTCTCTTCGTGGCTACTGAGTTGATATTTCGATGGAGTAATTAAACTTGGCCCAACAAAAAAAAAAATGAATAAAGTAAAACTAAAAAAAAAAATACAATTTCTACTACATAGGCAAGGGTTTACTTTAGTACAGTAGAGCTTATTTTCATTTTATGTTTTTAAGAAGGGAGCTTCTTTGTGTGTAGAGAGTGAACCTCATCAAGGGTGAATGCTAGGATTAGACAATGGAGAAACAAGCACGCACTGAGCGGGATAAATTTCGGCGTGATAGCTCGTAACCCGCTAATATTATCTGACGTATGTTTTGTATCGGCTGCTGTATCTTTGCAGTTATTTACACTTAGGTTTTTAATTATGCAGAGGAATTGATATGATTTTGATGTCATTGCAATTGTATATTAGTTCAGATATGTAATGCAGAGATTTCTGTAATACTGTATCATATAAGTCCTTTTTTTTTCCAAAGAGGATTGTTGTTCCTTCATTTTGTATTTTCCTAATTATTGAGTTCTCCATTTTGTTTGTGTAGCACTCAGTGTCTGAGCTGAACATAACCCATGTAACTTCTTGTATAACATTTGCTTATATTGTTAAGCTGAGTGTAACTGAGTGTACTTGTTGATACTGTGTCTGGCAAGTGTGTTTATGGTTACTTCTCAAGTCGTTTCTCATCAGTGTAACGTAATGAAAAAATAACTGATTAATATCAGGTAAATAGGATGTATTACTCTCACTTTGTAACACAAAACTGCAAGTAAGCCAATATAGAATGGAAGGACATTACTATTTCTTATTTTCACTGTCTCTTTTTGCTCTTATCCCTTCCCCTTTGTACAACTAGACTGTTTTTGATCTATGAAGCACATCCAGTATATCCCTTTTTCTAAAACGTGCGTTTGCCAAGTGATTTGACGTAATGTATCCCATGACATAATTGTTATCCTTGTCTGATGGCCATGTGAGTAGAGAAGAAATCCAGATTTGTCAAAAGACAGATTAAGTTTACTTTGACTGGAGTTCTTTTTTATCTTCCCACAAGGCCTTCATGAAGGAGCTAATGGTGGGTTAAAAACAATGGAAACTTGAAATGCTTTAAGGCTTGTTTACAAAGTATGTCCTCATAGACAGTGGACCTTAAAGCAAATGTTGGTTAGAATTGTTTTTGATTAGCCTTTGTGGATTGCACTGTGGCAAGGACGATCATGAACCAATTTTAAATATTGTACATCTTCTAGTTCTTTAATGTAAAGTGTCTAAATTGGCTTGACTGCCTTGCCTCAGTGATGAGAACGGAGCAGAAAGTGGGAATTCCCAGGATCATTGTTCTGCTGTCAGCTTGGATGACTTCTAAGTTATCCTCATCGTGTCCAGTGGAAAATTTTGGGGTCACTGACAGGTCCAAGAATGAGACCAAAAGAGTCTGAAGGTTAGCTTCAAGAAATTTCTTGGTCTCATTTTTTTATACATTTTGTTCAAGTGTCCCTGGAAGTGTGTTAAGATGAAAGCCCCTAAAGTGGAACTTTCTGAAAACAGCTGTCTTGGGAAAAGTTTGGGACAAAGTGACATCTATTGTTCATTTAGTGACATCTGTTACTGTCTTACTGGATACGTTTTTATCACAGTTATCAAAATGAAAATCATTCAATTAACTTCGTCTGTAACTGCTTATTAGACCTTATGGATATTGTGATATCACATGTGCACATAGTATCAAATATGAGACATGTACTATTAGCAGAAGTGATGAGGTGAATGTACACAAGTTTTGTGGTTATATAACCACCTGCAGACTTAAATACATAATGATTATAATTTATAACTAATGTTTTACTAACTAGGCTTTCTGATGGAGAATATATTTATCAGGGGAGTGAATAGGTTGGACAGTTATTTCTAAGAAACTACAATGATTTAAGAAATCAAATGCTTAAGAAACTGCCTATGTCACAGTGAATGACTATGTTGGTCATGAATTTCTATTAGTGATGCTTCTGTTTGTTAGTCGTGTGTAAGAGTTTGTAATTTGTATGTCCAGTTAGACTGTCAGATGTATGTATGTTTATGTGTGTGTGGTTGTGTGCGAAATGTTCTTAATACATCTCAGTTTTATGTTATGCTCAAAATGAGTCCCTAATGATATATCCTTGCACAAGTGATACCAAAATGCCCTTCGGTCTTATAAAGTGACCGACCATTTATAGACACAGAGCCCCACCACCAAGCATCATGTGGGGTAGTCCTCATTATATAAAGATGAAAGGTGTTCAGAATTTTTTTTTAACTGTGATTCATTATTCATTCTTATTTTCAGTCACGTGAAGCTGTAGAGCATTGCATAGAAGTGTAGTCTAATAAAAACTGAAAATTAATTACTCTTAATTTACCTGGTGTTTTTGTAATAAAACTTACCTCTACAAACACAATGATGATTTGATGTGTATTTATTGAAATATTTTTATGTTGACTTTACTAAGAGAGACTCTGTTGTCTCTCTTCATTGTATTATTAAGGAAAGAAAATATTTTGTTTCATTCCACACCGCTACATAAATATAATACAGTAAGTACTGTACTGTACAGTACTTGTGTAGTTGATTATGTTATATTACAGACCTTTATTCTTCATACTGAATTTTGATTGTACTAACCTATATAAATTACTTTTAATACAAAAAAATAAAAAATAAATTAGTAAACACAAGAAAGTGTGTTGAGGTGTGTGGGTGAAACGGGAGACCGTCGAATGTAATGCTGATCGGTCAGATAAATAAAGCCTGGTAAACCTCTTGGTGGTTGACTGCTGATGATGGAAATGAACTCCACTCTTACACTCACAATGTACAGTATATGAACTCTTATTTTTTTTTTTTACAGTATTACATTGCATGATTTTTACTTTTTTTTTTTACTTTTAATATATCAATTATTTTTTCCAGACTGCTATAAAGAAGCTTTGTTTTTCACCGCTTACCCAACTTCCACCGCTGGTTGCCAGGTCGTATGTACAGAAGCAGTAGATATCTCAAGTGTTGTCGAATTACCACTGGCTGTCCTGCAACTCTCCAGTAATTTCCCAGCAATCGATATCAGTGTACGGACAAACAACAGGCAGGTAGATTTCCACCAGGTCACAGAAACACACTTGTGCACTGTATTCTTTCTTTAATGGTCACTAATTCTTCACAACACTGTTCATATGGTAATGTCTTCACAGCTGGACTTCTCACTTCGAATATACCTGTACAGTATACGTACTGTAATCGGCACACTACCAGTGTACAATTCCTTAGTCTTCTCACTTTATATTGATCACAACAATTCCCCAATATTTGCACAGCAATTATCTTCAGTTGTCCTACTAGACTTGTTCTTTACACTCAGAGCAGAAATGGTCGACTCACTCAAGGCTGCTTGCTGCCACTTACTGTATATACCTGTATGTCTTGTCAGACGATCCAAGAACAACCCAGACAGGCCTGGGAAGTTCCAGTATGCTCTACTCTGATCAAGGCTTACAATCGGAAGTAAATCACAATACAAATGATGCAAAACATTCTTGAAAGCTCTTACATAAGTAATACTTACTCGAAAATCTCCCTTAACTTGCCAAAATAACTGCTGCTTGGGACAGAAAATACAGTAATCAAAACACCCCGTTTACAAATGCCACAGTACCAAATTATGCCTAGGCATAACAATATATTAGCTAAAGAACTCCTGTACAGTGCTGGGTATGGGTGAAATTAAAAAAAAACTGAGAACAGTACAGTACTATCTTCATGAGTATTTGGGATCAATAGTTATACAGTATATGTTTAACTTATTTGATTACTTAATCCTTCCATCTTGTCTATAGTCTTCCCTTCCCTTCTCCCTCCAACTTAGAAGTACTGTATCATCATCCTACTTCTGAGATGTTGACAGTCATAGCATGGGAAATCTTGTGTGTATATATATATATATATATATATATATATATATATATATATATATATATATATATATATATATATATATATATATATATATATATATATATATATATATATATATATATATATATATATATATATATATATATATATGTGTGTGTGTGTGTGTGTGTGTGCGTGTGTGTTTCTGAAGTTTAGTTAAACGGATATACAAGTACTGTATGTACAGGTAAACTAAAGCATATACTGTACACACATAGCAACATACGTTAAGTAAAAAACTCCCCTCCCCCTTGCAAGGTCGTAACCCTTACACCTCGGGTCGTTTACATAGAGAGGCGGGCGACCTGGTTCCACACTAGATATTTTCCCCCCAGACACGGTGGGGAAAGTGGGTCAGTGGGCTGAGCGTCTGGCTGCCCCACCCCTCCTTCATTCCCTACCCCTTATCCCCACTCTCTCTCTCTCTCTATCTCTTGTCTCTGGCCGCCACGCCCTGACAGGAAGAAGGGGAAGAAAATAGGATAAGGGAAACAAGAAAATTAGACAGGATTAAAAAATAGAGGGTAAGGAAGAAGGAATTATGAAATAGTTGAAGGGAGGGCAGATAACAGCTTTAAATTGTTGCTGTGTTCCTTTTATTTTAGTTCCATACTTTAATGTGGTATTGTATGGATGGGGGGGGGGGTAATATAAAGTATCTTAAAGTGACAAGTTTAAGGTCACAAAACTGGCACAATGTCGTTTTCACTAGTCGATGTGTGTAAAGGAGATGTTTTTATTAGAGAATTTTTGGGCTCAAAATTTCGTGGCATGTCACCTTTGAACTTAGAACTAACCCCTAAGCACTATTTGGGGGTCATCTTAGAGGTTCAAGGTTGGCCTGGACTGGTATCTTATTTTTTATAACGATATTTAAGTCAATGAGAGAGAGAGTTGCAGTAATGTATCTTATCTCACTGATTTGGACTAAAAAAATTATTACTATATTCCACCAATGGGTCACAAAAAGGCCGTACTACAATAAGCACGTTACTGTATTTAAAATAAATAAATAAATAAATAAATAAAAAATTATGAAAACTAAAAAAATAAAAGAACTTGGATATGCATTTCTCGATATATGCAACTAAACATAAACAGTTCTAACTCAATTTAAAATGTCAACTTTTCACATACCACAGAAAGGACAGGTTGTATAGTAAAGTTCTATTTAGGTGAATTTCTGCGCCTCTCCCCTTTTAGTTCTTTAGGGGAGATACAGTACTGCAGTTTATTAAATTCTAGATCCGCCATTGAGGAAGTACTTGATGCTGTACTTCAAAACCAAAACGTCTAATTCCAATCTAGCTACAGCATATCTAAACAATTCAAACCAAATCTATATATACTGTATATTTCTGTCTTGTAAGGCTGGTTGCTTTATATTGTGTAATTGATACAATATTTTCAACGCCATCTGTTGGAGAGAATAATAACTATGTCCACTGCCGATGTTTTTTATTCCTGCTGTACAGTACAGCTTTACGTGTGTCAGTAGGAAGACGTGTGTCACGACTCGCACCACTGAAGTAAAGGTGGTTGTCTGGAACTATTGTTTAACATTACAACTGTGTTCACCGCATTGAAAGCTTGAGGAGTGTCAGAAGATGACCGAGATACTCAGTTGAGGATAACTACTGAATCTTTACTTAGAAAATTCCTGAACACGAACTATAATTATGATTGTGAAAGTTAGTTACTTGACTTAATTAGTTTAACCAGTCGAAGTGATCTCCACGAAGTGCGAAACGGACAAAATAACGTGGTAAAATTTCTGTTCCTGTGCATCGTGAACAATCTTGTTCCCAAGCAAATCTCGTACACTGGACGGCCTGGATACTGAGGAAAGCTTGACATCTCTACCTGTCTGGTTGTTGGGTATTTGTCACCTGATGGCCAATGTCAAATGTCGGCGAGGGTGAGTGCCTGTGTCTTCGCTGTAAATTCCTTCCATTTCTGTAACCACAGTTTATATATAATGTTTGGCTAGCACCTTATACAGCGAATGTGAAATTTAGGAGCACGTCATTGTTATTGTAATTTGTGAGCTACCATTTCATATACAGATTTGTAATCATGGTTTTATGGGAGAACAAGTTAGATTACATGGCCAAGAACGGTAATGTTAAGTTAGTAAATTGTTGTTGATCGTTCTACTGCCAGCTGGATCTGAGAGTGCCTCCCCCCCCCCCGCCCCCTTTTAACAAGTCTCAAATTCGCCAGTGGTTTTCCTGTAACTAAACTTGGTACATTGTGGGGTACGTGATGTTTGGGTTCACACTCAGGATGGGATGGAGAAAGGAAACTCACAATGTGTTCTCTGTATACATGTTGTATTGGATGTACAATGCAGCTTGGTGCTGGGAAGGCAGCATGGTTACAAGCGTGATGTAGAGAGAGCTGGTTGATGAGGGTGCTTAGAGGAGGACAGCTTGTGGGTCGCCATGCTCGCCGGCGGGAGCGAGGGCCGCCAGGCAGCGGCGGAGGAGGAGGAGGAGGTGTTGCTTGCTGGTTGGTGTAGGTAGAAAAGCGAGAGGTCACCACGAGGTCAGGTCTTAAATAGCGGGGGTAGGCGTGGCTTAATAGTTGACCCCCGCTCCGTGGGCGGCGCTGGTTGACCTAGACCACGAAGCATACACTGGGGAATTCGTGGGGTCGGCTACTCAGCGACAAACAGCGTTGTAGGGGAGAAATCCACTACAAAACTATATCATAACTAGAAATTAAACGAAGAAATAATTAATATTTTGACATAATTAGACTTTGTGGTGTGGATGAGCTGGGAACTTGCACACCTTTACAGATAAACTTCGTCTACATATCCTCTTGCACCGTTTTCTCTTCAGAACTAGAGGAAAAGGCAAGAAAAATATGAAACCAAGAAATAGTGTCATGGCGTATAGTGTGCTAGGCTATGATCGTCCTGGGAACTCCTCGACCCAGCGGGATCAACAGCCTTACCCTCCTTGGCTATGGCCACTTTAGCGTAGTAATAATTGATTCTGAGGAGGGGGGGGCGGAGGAGCCTAGCTTGTTGTGGTGCTGGGACGCCGCCATATTATTGATACGGTAGCTGGGCGGAAACACTTTTATTGGTAGTAGTTGGGAGTGGGATGAGGGAATTTTATTTGTTCTGGGTTCCAATGTTTTTTATTTACTTTTTTTGGCCTCTGATAATTTCTCCACAAAAGAGTGTTTCCCGGATATAAAAAAAAATGTTAGGTCGGCTTTTCACGGTATACCAAAGTTTGTTCGCGGTTTGTCCCAATTGATTATTGCCTTGTAAATGGGTATAAAGATTACATCTACAGGTTTTTTCTTTAATTTGATATATTGACTTATTTATACATTTATTTACCGAAAACATACAGGTAAGGCATCGTAAAGTTAAGGTCG